CAGGTGAAGTTGAAGATTGCTCCATGGTGGACAGGATTATGTTGGGATAGCACAATATCTCTTATTTAATTAATGCATATATATACTTGGTAAAGGGTGGAAGACTCGGCCTTATGCCTGGTGTTTTGTTCCACTCTTGCCGCCCTAGTTTCCGTCATACCGGTGTTATGTTCCTGGATTTTGCGTCCCTAACACGGTTGGGTGATTTATGAGACCCCCTCGACAGTTTGCTTTGAATAAAACTCCTCCAGCAAGGCCAAACCTTGGTTTTACCATTTGCCTCACCACCACCTACATTTCCCTTGGGAGTAATTAACCCGAGGGTCATCTTTATTATAGACCCCCCCCCCGGGCCAATGCTTGTCTAAGTGTTGGTCCGAACCAGAGCCCTTTGCAGCACCCCCTCAGGGAAACTTGAGGTCTGGTTTTAGTTGTACGGATTGCTCATCCGGTGTTGCCCTGAGAACGAGATATGTGTAGCTCCTATCGGGATTGTCGGTACATCGGGCGGCTTTGCTGGTCTTGTTTTACCATTGTCGAAATGTCTTGTAAACCGGGATTCCGAGTCTGATCGGGTCTTCTTGGGAGAAGGTATATCCTTCGTTGATCGCGAGGGCTTATCATGGGCTAAGTTGGGACAACCCTGCAAGGTATAAACTTTCGTAAGCCGTGCCCGCGGTTATGCGGCAGATGGGAATTTGTTAATGTCCGGTTGTAGATAACTTGACACCAGATCCGAATTAAAACACATCAACCGCGTGTGTAGCCGTGATGGTCTCTTTTCGGCGGAGTCCGGGAAGTGAACACGGTTTTTGGGTTATGTTTGACGTAAGTAGGAGTTCAGGATCACTTCTTGATCATTGCTAGCTTCATGACCGTTCCTTTGCTTCTCTTCTCGCTCTTATTTGCGTATATTAGCCACCATATCTTGCTTAGTCACTGCTGCAACCTCACCACTTTACCCCTTCCTTACCCATTAAGCTTTGCTAGTCTTGATACCCATGGTAATGGGATTACTGAGTCCCCGTGGCTCACAGATTACTACAACAACAGTTGCAGGTACAGGTTATGCGATAACCATGACGCGAGAGCGATGTTACTTGTTTGGAGTGCTTCTTCTGCTTCTTCTTTGATCAGGGGATAGGTTCCAGGTCGGCAGCCTAGGCCAACAGGGTGGATGTCGTTTGAGTTTCTGTTTGTGTTTCATCTATAGTCGGATGATGCTATTATGTATTGTGATGTTGTATTCGTGTGGCATTGTATGCCTTTTGTATGTATCCCCATCTATTATGTAATGTTGATGTAATGATATCCATCTTGCAAAAGCGTTTCAATATGCGGTTCTATCCTTGGTGGGACCTTCGAGTCTCTTTAGGATAGTATCGCATATTGGGCGTGATAGTTAGTCCCAAAATTAATATAAAAGTGTATAATAAAGCCCATAAACATTCAAAACAGATAATAAAATAGCATGAATGCTTCATAAATTATAGATACGTTGGAGACGTGTCACTTGCAAGCAATGTGACTAAGGAGTTAGTCGCGGGATCTTGTATTACGGAACGAATAAAGAGACTTCCCGATAACGAGATTGAACTAGGTATGACGATCGAATCTCGGGCAAGTAACATACCGCTAGACAAAGGGAACTGCATACGGGATTGATTGAATCCTTGGAATCGTGGTTCGACCGATAAATATCTTCATGGAATATGTGGGAACGAGTATGGGCATTCAGGTCGCGCTATTGGTTTTTGACCGGAGAGGTGTCTCGGTCATGTCCACATGATTCTTGAACCTGTAGGGTCCACACGCTTCACGTTCGGTGACACTAGAGTAGTATTGGGATATTCACATTGGTGACCGAATGTTGTTAAGAGTCCCGGATGAGATCCCGGATGTCACAAGGAGCTCCGGAATGGTCCGGAGGTAAAGATTTATATATGGGAAGTCATATTTTGGCTATCGGAAAAGTTTGGGTTTTACCGATATTGTACCGGGAAGCTTCCAGAGGGTTCTAGAAGGTTTCGTAGGAGTCCGGAAGGATCCCTCCATCACCTAGGGCATGCATGGGCTATAGGGGGCGTCCTAGCCTTATTGGGACAGGCGCACATGCCCCCTAAGGCCCATCCACCTAGGGGGAAGGGAAACCCTAAGGGAAAGGGCCCTCCACTTGCCTGGGAGGGCACTCCTCCCCCTTTGGCCACCTCCCCTCCTTGGAGGAGGGGCTAGGGATGAGCCCCCAGCCCTCCAACACCCCTATATATAGTAGTGAGGAGGCGCAAGGGCTGGAGACAACAATTACCACGCCATGTGGCCTCCCCTCTCTCTTGTTCTTCCTCATTCATAGTTCCGGAGGCGCTTGGCGAAGCCCTGCTGCGATTGCTCCACCACCATATCCATCATGCCGTCGTGCCGGTTGAGATGCCATCTACTTCTCCTCCCTCTATTGCTGGAACAAGAGGGAGGAGACGCCGTCGAGCCGCACGTGTGTTGAACGCAAAGGTGTCCTCCGTTCGGCGCTAGATCGGATTGGATCGCGATTGGATCGTGAAGAGTATGACTACATCAACCGTGTTTCTTAATGCTTTTGCTTAGCAATCTACAATGGTATGTAGATCCAATCTCTCCTCTCGTAGATGGTCATCTCCTAGATTGATCTTAGTGAGCATAGGCAATTTTTAGTTTCCCATGCAATGTTCCCCAACACTTAATACTTTGAGATGCATGTTGGATAGCGGTCTTGGGTGGAGTAATAGTAGTAGATGTAGTTGGATTACGGTCTACTTATCATGGATGTAGTGCCCATGTGAGATTATGCCATGAATGATCATAGTTATAATTTGCGCTATTATGTTAATTATCCAACAATAATTTGTCTACCATGCCAATACATGCTTTCGAGAGATATGCCACTAGTGAACCAATGGCCCCAAGTTCTATTTTCCATCAATACAAAAAAACTACAGTTTACCCCTTTACTTTATTGTTGTTTTCCCTATCACATATATTTGCTTTTAATCTTGTAACTAGCAAGAACATGGGGATTGACAACCTCCTTGCTATTGTTGGGTGCAATAATTTTTATTTGTTTTGTGTGCAGCTACTGCCAATGTTGCTACCTTGATGCCTCCTGCTGGTTCGATAAACCTTGATTCTTAACTGGGAGAAATACTATATCATGTCGTGCTACAACACCTTTCCTCTTCGGGGAATCCAACAACTCCTATAGGAGTAGCAGCTCCCACCCAGCTCCATCTACACCTGGATAGATTTCGAAACCGATGTCATCAATAACTTTGAGGGCACATACCGCCCTGGCGACGCATACGACCTCCACAATTGCATACACAACGCCAACAGCTCGCACAAGACTTCATCTCGCGCAATATATGCTTTCATCAACTGTGCTCAGGACTCTCTTTCCGGCTGGGCAAAAAGTGGGTTGAAGAGAAGCTAAGCACAATGGCACAACCAATGAAGATCGCCAATGACTATGCAACTGGTGACGAAACAGCTCGCGTAGGCCGCCGCCACACCATAGCTCCAGAAACTCCTGAGCCCGCAGACGGCGAGGGCACCAGAAGCATAAACCACAACCGCAATTGAGACCGCAAGAGGGAGGACGAACATGAATCCAACCTTGTCGCGGTATGAACAAGGTCGGCCAAGGCGGTGCAAAGAAACAACGATGGGACAACAAGTCCAAACGCCCAAGGCACACCTATGAGGAAATCAGGGCGCCAAGTCTAGTCGGCGCAAAGAAGCATCGGTGGGACAACAAGTCCAGGCGCCAAGTCCAGTCCAGATGCACATATCATTCTTTCTAATACGATGCAATGTCTCATCGATAATGGGGTGCACGTAAATATTTAGTCAATTTCAAGGCTCCACAACTCTAGTATTCAATGGGCAACAATGTGCATGTCTTTCTTTTCCCTCCAGCAAGACAACCAGGGCAAAGTCCTCCTCCCCTCGATCTTCGTCGCCGAGCCCATGGATCCACCACGCCTCTGCGTGTGCTCCGGCTAGTAGATATGTTAGGGATTTAGTCCTCGGATGGGTGGCGCTCTGACGGATGGCGACGCTTCTTTGACCTAGTCTTCGGCTTCGTTCCTTCTCAAGTTCATTCGTCGACACAGATTATATGAGTTCTGGCGTAAATTCCTGCCAGCTCCTCGGGGCGGCAAGGTTAGGGTTTCTCGTTGCGCATATATGACGACGAGATTTAGTGTGAGGTTCTTTAGATCAATTATTAAAGGGTTCAACGATGAAGATTGTGGCTCCAGAGGAGCTGGTTCTTAGGGACACGTGCACGAAGACTTTCGACTGTCATTGACAAGTTCAGGTCAGGTCGGCTCCAGTACGGGAGCGGCGACACCAGCGCATCGTTGGCTCGTTCTGGCGGCGACAATGGTTGTTCAGTGGTTCAGGGACCTTGATGTAATTTTCATTATACTTGGGGTACTTTGTAGTTTTGATGAACTTTTTATATTGGATCTGAGCCTTTTTTGTTAAAGAAAATGCATTTGACGATTTGCGAGTATATATCCGTGAGTATACTCAGCATTGCCTAGAAATTAAATAAGGTCAAATTAGAAAACCCGTAACTGTTTCACGCGGCAAATTTTCAACGTGATCCAAGCGGTTGATGACTTTGATGTTATCGATGATTCCGGGCGTATCTTCTTGGATGGAGCAGAGTGCACCACCGAAGCGTTTAACCACTCATGAGAGATGTAGCACTCGGGCCAGCGGGCGTATGTGCCGCAGTGACGAGGTCACACTTCATATCCTTTCACTGTATCTCATTAGCAAAAAAAATATATCTCCTTTCACTGTATCTGTGGTGATACATTTTAGTATATTTTTAGAAGGATTATCTTTTACAATGAAACTGTGGGAAGATGGCCACAGTCTCTCTTTTTTTGTTGCGTGGTGAGGCATGGCCACCTTGACTTTGCCTAACAAAAAACGAATTTGATCTTTTGCCGGAGGCGATGGCCCGTCGGTACTGTAACCAGCAGTGCAACCAACCAGGTTTCGGCTCCTCGGACGCAGGCCCCGCTGCACGTAACACGTGCCCCTCCCCTTATCACCTCCCCCCGTTTGCAAACACTCGAGTCCAGCAACATTTCGCGCCACACCCTCCTCTCGTTCCTTCCCCTGCTCCATTTTTCTCTGCTTGCGCGGTGCGGCCACTACCACCACGACACGACACGATGGCCGCCGTGTCCATGGCCCTGTCCCGAGCGCTCGCCGCACGGCATTCCGCTCACCACCTGCAGCTGCACCACCTCCTCGCCGTCTCCACCTCGCCGCCGCGGCTGCCTCTGCTCCCGCGTGGGCCGCCAGCCGGGATCGCGCCTCTGCACCTCACTCGCGGCGGCGGCACGGCCAGGAGGATCATGCCCGTGTGCCCCAGGCTTGGGTCGGGTGGATCGGACGACCTGGCCCCGACGCCCAAGTCGGAACGCACCATGACGGGCTTCGACCTGGCCAGCCTCTGGGTGGGCCTCGTCGTCGGCGTGCCGGCCTACTACCTCGCCGGCAGCCTCGTCGACCTCGGCATGTCGGCGATCCAGGGCGTAGCCACCGTCACGCTCGCCAACCTCATCGTGCTCGCCACGCTCGTGCTCACGGCCGCGCCGGCCGTCACGCACGGGCTGCCGTTCCCGGTGCTCGCGCGCGCCGCCTTCGGGGTTCACGGCGCGCACGTCCCGGCTGTCGTCCGCGCGGTCATCGGCTGCGGGTGGTTCGGGATCGAGTCGTGGATCGGCGGCAGAGCCATCTTCCTCCTCCTGCCGGCGTGGCTCAAGACCCACGCGCCGCTGCTGAAGCCGGTGCCCGGCCTCGGGGCCTCGCCGCTCGAGATCGCGTGCCTCCTCGTCTTCTCGGCCGCGCAGCTCGTTGTCATCATGCGCGGTATGGACGGCATCCGCAAGCTTGAGAAGTACGCAGCACCGGTGCTCGTGGCGCTCACCTCCGCGTTGCTGGCCTGGGCCTACGTCTCTGCCGGCGGCTTCGGGCCCATCCTCTCGCTTCCGCCGCGGCTGGTCGGCGGCGACTTCTGGCAGCTCTTCTTCCCGGCGCTCACCGCCAACATCAGTTTCTGGTCGACGGTGTCCATCAACATCCCGGATTTCGCGCGGTACGCCCGGAGCCAGACGGACCAGGTGCTCGGACAGATCGGGCTGCCGCTGTTCATGGGCATGTTCACCTTCGCCGGCCTCGCCATAACCTCCTCCACCGAGGCCATCTTCGGTCAGGTCATCTCCGACCCCATCGAGCTTCTCAGCCGCATCGGCGGGCCCGCCACCAGGGTCCTCGCCATCTTCGGCATCACCCTCGCCATCATCACCACCAACATCGCCGCCAATGTCGTCGCGCCGGCGAACACCCTCGTCGCGCTCGCGCCGCAGACATTTACATTCGCCAAGGGCGCGCTCGCCACGGCGCTGCTCGGCATCGCCTTGCAGCCGTGGCGGCTGCTCGGCTCCAGCGAGAGCTTCGTCTTCACCTGGCTGCTGGGAAATGCGGCGCTCATGGGGCCCATCGGAGGCGTCGTGCTCGCCGATCACTATATAGTGCGGCGTACCGCGTTGGACGTCGACGCGCTCTACTCGGAGGAAGCCGACAGCGCGTACTACTTCCAGGGCGGCTTCAACGTTGCCGCGATGGTGGCGATGGCGGCAGGATTCGCCGCCGTCATGCCGGGGTTCTTGCACAAGGTCGGGGTGCTGCCGACAATGTCCAAGGCACTCGTCGTGGCCTATGACAATGCCTGGTTCGTCAGTTTCTTCATCGCCGGCGCCGTCTACTCCCTGCTGCGTCTCCGGAGAGGGGTTGAAGTGAAACGACAGTACAGTCGTGCCACTTCATACTCCTACTAGAGCGGGTCTCAGAATGACACTACATACAACAATATTTACTGACAAGACTACTAGTAATAAGCAAACAAGAAAGTGCCTCCATATACATCTCATAAACAGTGGGATAGAGTTTATATGCCTACATTTATTTTGTGAGACAACATGCTACTGTATGTACGTTGAATATATACATGGTTCAGCTATTTATTTATTTTTGGAATGAGATGGTAGTATTTCTGCGTGAATTACCCCAGTAGATCCTACTCTTGAGTGTGGCCTACATGTATTTTTCTTTGCCACAGAGCCAAAGCGCATAATGTTGTTACTCCCTCTTTTCACTTTTACAAGACGTTTAGACAATTCAGACGATGTCCAAAACTATACAATGTCAGCTGTTCAAAACGTCTTATAAAAAAAACGAAGGGAGTACCTTGGAATTAACGAAGCATGCATCAGTCTCAGGCCTCATTTGTTTGTAGGATTTTTGTAGGAATCATGTATGTATGTTTGGAGCTCCAACGATGAGGTCTAATTACAATGGTTAATGCCTTTTTTAGGATACACCATAGAGAGTTATGTATCAGATTCATAAGAAAAAAAGTTAAGATGGACCATACAATGTCATACGGTATATGATGCATGATAGCAACCACACCACCACTACACCAACATAGGACCGCGGCGGCCAACGCCTTGCGTCGCTGATCAACCTGGCCGCGGCGGCCAAAGCCTGGCGCCATGGACTACTCCGGTCACGGCGGCCACCATATTCCCTGCACACCTCTCATTCTCTGGCGATCTCTACGAGATGCCACGGCTTTGAGCAACGCGAACATGAGAAGAGCGGCAAGTCCGCTAATGTTGTTATCGGTGATACTAATATGAAGGAATCTGGATACGGTATTTTTCCTACCATCCTTTCAGTATTTCAATCCCCTGATTGGTTAATTGACACAGGTGCAAATGTACATGTTTGTGTTGATGCTTTCATGTTTTCTTCTTACCAGGCCACAGGGACTTCTCCTGTGCTGACGGGGAATGGTTCACATGCCATTGTTCGAGGTGTCGGTACGGTTGATCTGAAGTTTACTTCGGGAAGACTGTGCGTCTGAAGAACGTTCATCATGTGTCGTCCGTCAATAAGAATCTCGTCAGTTGTTCCCGTTTATATCGAGATGGTTTTAAGTTGGGTTTTGAGTCCAATAAAGTTGTAATTTCCAAGTTTGGACAACTTGTTGGAAAAGGCTATGGGTGTGGAGGCTTGTTCCGCCTATCTTTGTCAGATATTTGCACTACAGTTATTAATAATATGTTTGCCACAATAATGAGTCTGATATTTAGCATTCAACACTTTGTCATATTAACTTTAGTTGATGACGCGGCTAGCCAATATGAATGTAATTCTGAAAATCCCTACTGTCAAAGGCTCCAAGTATCAAGTATGTGTGCAAGCTAGCAACCTCGCAAGTCCCATAAGGCTGCAGAGGCAAGAGACTTTGCGCCACTAGAGCTTATACATTCTGATCTTTGTGAGATGAAAGGCGTGTTGACAAAAGGTGGAAAGAGATACGTCATGACATTAATTGATGACTCCACTAGATATTGTTATATGTATCTTCTGAAATCAAAAGATGAGGCTTTAACTTTCTTCAGAAACTATAAAGCTGAAGCGGAGAACCAACTTGATCGGAAAATTAGACGACTAAGGTCTGATCGTGGTGGAGAGTATTTTTCTTATGAATTTGATTTGTTTCGTGCGGAACATGGTATAATCCATGAGAGGACGCCTCCCTACTCACCTCAGTCGAATGGGGTGGCTGAAAGAAAGAACCGAACTCTAACTGATTTGGTTAACGCCATGTTAGACACGTCGGGTCTTTCCAAGGAATGGTGGGGGAGGCGCTAATGACTGCATGCCATGTCCTAAACCGAGCTCCCACAAAGCATGAGACCATGACTCCATTTGAGGAATGGGAAAGGAAAAGGTTGAAACTCTCTTACCTACGTACTTGGGGTTGTTTGGCGAAAGTCAATATACCAATTCCCAAGAAGCGCAAGCTTGGACCAAAAACCGTGGATTGTGTTCTTCAAGGCTATGCTTTTCATAGCATTGGCTACAGATTTTTGATAATAAAATCTGAGGTATCTGACATGCATGTTGGTACGATTATGGAGTCTAATGATGCAACTTTGTTTGAGGACATATTTCCTATGAAGAATATGTCGAGTTCGTCAAATCAGGAGATTCCTACTCCATCTAGTGAGGAAATCATTGTAATTCCTGAACCCACCATTGCGATGTAACACGTTGAGAATCCTGTTGAGGGTGACAATGAAACTCCTGTAAGGAATAAGAGATAGAGGACTGCAAAGTCCTTTAGTGATGATTTCATTGTGTACCTCGTGGATGACACACCCATGACTATTTCAGAAGCCTATGCATGTCCTGATGTTGACTACTGGAAGGAAGCTATTGTCGGGAAACATAGCATGCAATTTCAAAAAAATTCCTATGCTCACACAAGATCTATCTAGGAGATGCATAGCAACGAGAGGGGAAGAGTGTGTCCACATACCCTTGTAGACCGAAAGCGGAAGCGTTTGCCAACGCAGTTGATGTAGTCGTACTTCTTCTTGTTCCGACCGATCAAGTACTGAACGTACGACACCTCCGAGTTCTGCACACGTTCAGCTTGATGACGTCCCTCGAACTCTTGATCCAGCAGAGTGTCGAGGAAGTAGAAGAGTTCCGTCAGCACAATGGCGTGGTGATGGTGATGGTGAAGTTATCCGCGCAGGGCTTCGCCTAAGCAGTACGGGAATATGACAGGAGGCGTAAACTGCGGAGGGGGGTTCCGCACACGGCTAACAATCGTTGGTGTATGTTCTAGGCACCCTGTTATGGCGCTGCTAGAAGGAGGGTGCGAGAGGGCCGGCCGGGGGCCTTTTGCCCACGGCCAGGCAAGAGGGAAGGGATTTCCTTCTTAATTCTTGCTTGATTAGATTGATACATCTCCTCTCTTTATATAGAGAGGTTTACTTAACTCCCAAGCAAGGCTTACTTGACCCCTAAGCAAGCGACCCTTATCTCTAATTAACCCTAAGACTAACGGGCTATACCGCCAGCCCAGGCCCATTACGTACTCTAACACTACACCCCACCTAGACATGCAGCTTGTCCTCGAGCTGCAGCCTAACCAACTTATAACCATGACTCGACGCAACACAAACCTAACACCTAAAAACAAGCCTTTTACATCTCGGCTTGTGTTATTACTCTCAAACTGAAATAGACTGGGACGCTTTATTTTGGACGTGCACGTGTACAGCCACCTGGATCCCATGAACACCACCTGGACAAAAGGAGTGCATGTGTATGGCTGTTGGTCTGCACTGCACAAGGAAGAGTGGAGGGCTTGCGATGGAGAATGTCGAGGAGGGGTGCACCCCCCCAACCGCCGATGTCGCAGACTTTGAGGTCGCTTCCCACGGGGAAAACAGCATGCCCACCGCCCGTGGGGGAAACCGCATGCCCAAGATCCTCGACGCAGCGGACGAGATCGAGGTCCTTTGCATAGCGAAGGGCAACTTGGAGGAGCGGCAGCTGTAGACCACACATCTCCCGCACACGCCGACGCGCTAGGAGGCCGCATGCAGCAGCCTGCAGCCTCACCGCCGCCGACACGTGGCGGGTAGCAATCCAAGATGGAAGCGGTGACTGCGGCGGCGGGGACTTGATCTGCTGGATGTGGACGCCCTGGGATGGCGGCGGCGCTGATGGGAACAAGGTCGTCGCAGTCCCGTCGTAGGGCATCCCATACTGGGCGGCGGAGCTGACCGGCGATGGCTGCTGCGGTGTCGCGCCGGGCAGCAGCAGCGGCTGCTGCGACAAAGCACCGAGCGCGACAGAGGCCGCTAGGAGCGGCGGCTGCCACTGCAGCGAGGGCTGGGCGATGGTGGCGATGGATGGCAGCTGCAGCGGCCCGGCGAAGGCCGCCTGGTGCGGCGGCTGCCACGGCGGCGCAACCAAGGGTGGCCCGTAGGACCCGGCCAAGAACATGTGGATCTCCTGGACCGCCTGGGTTAGGTCCCGCAGCACCCCGAACACCTCCGGGGTGAGTACGGTGGGGGCGGGCATGATGGAGGATCCCGGCGCGGGCAGGAGCGGGGCGACGGTTGTGGTGGTCACCGGAGGCGACGAGGTGACCGGCAGTGGAAGAGACGGGCTTGGCGGCGGTGAAGACATGATCGAACCGAGCTGATACCAAATTGTTATGGCGCTGCTAGAAGGAGGGTGCGAGAGGGCCGGCCGGTGGCCTTTTGCCCACAGTCAGGCAAGAGGGAAGGGATTTCCTTCTTAATTCTTGCTTGATTAGATTGATACATCTCCTCTCTTTATATAGAGCGGTTTACTTGACTCCCAAGCAAGGCTTACTTGACCCCTAAGCAAGCGACCCTTATCTCTAATTAACCCTAAGACTAACGGGCTATACCGCCAGCCCAGGCCAATTACGTACTCTAACACGCCCCCTTCCCACGTATATAAAGGTGTGAGAGGGATAGAGGCAGCCTAGGGCACGGCTTGGGCCCCTAGTCCAATTTGGCCTCCCCCTTTCCTTTTACCGAAAGGGGGAAAAGAGGGAAGAGGGAAGGAGGAAGGAAAGGTGGGGCCGAACCCCCTCCTCCTTCTCCTATTCGGCCTCCTACCATAAGGGTGGCACTGTGGGCTGGTGTGCTCCCCTCCTATG